GAAAACGAAAGAAAAAAAAAAAAAACAAACAAACAAACGAAAAAAAAAACAACAAACAAAACAAAACAAAACAAAAAACAAAACAAAAAAAAAACAACAACAACAACAAGAAAACAATGCGTTTAGAGTCTGCTACTAACTATTAAGCGTACTATTTTTCACGGGTTAAATAAAATTACTCTATCTAGTCCACATCTTTATGAATAAATGAATTAATGTTGGAAAGAGTTTCCTTTACGCAATCACGTGACTAATGACTAATCTGCATTAGTATAAACCTACTCATGGTCTATCGCAAATTCTGCGCTCTGATTGGCTGACCTACTAGTGGTTTAGTAGTGATAGACCACTAGTAGCGAAAAGTGAAGGTTTTGAAAAGCAAAATCACACAAAATATATAATTATTAAGCCAATTCCAACTTCGTATTCATTTATTTAACCTATTAGTAGGTCTATACTAAAACAGTTAGACCTTTCGCCCTCATTGGGGTAGCGGGGCTAATTGTTAATTACAATGCGAAAAGCATCATAATGTCTATCGTGAATATAACCAATTAAAATATTCATCTAATACATAGACCTATTTCACAGAGCTGTCAATTTTTCTCTCTTGAGAATAAAGATGTTTTACCCGCATGAACAATCTCAATCACTTGGATATGTGGCAACGCGTGGTGGAACCTATTGTTCAAACCAACACGAGTGTTTGGGACCCAGGGAAATGAGCGAAGCAAAACGTCACCAAACATTTTGTGTTTAACGATTTCGGTAACTGAGTTGCAAACTCTTCTTGTAAATATTTTATCACTATTCAAATATATAATTGTGAAGTAATGGTTTTTTACTCCTAAGGTTTATTGCAGTCATTCCAATAAATAAGTTATACATCATATGGTAATATGATTATTTTATAAATTTACGATAAAATATTTTGTCGATAATAGTTAATAAAGTATCAAAACATATAAAAATTATGTAGTTTCTTATAGTAAATGCTATCTGTTTACTGGTACAACTTGAAAGAGGGATCTAGAAGCTGAAAGACAAAATATACATAGTTATATAATCTGTCCTTGTTTGTACGAGGGAAGCAGTTAATAGCTATTGGCTAACAAACCGGAGGCTCTCGTTTCATGATCGAATTGGAATTTAGTAGTTACATTTTGTGGAGGGAGGAAAACCGTACAAAAACCCTTTAAGCACAGGGGAGAACTAACAAAAAACTCTACTCACATATGACACCGAGCCCGTTTGCACTCGGCGCCTGAACGCATTGATGAGAGGTGAGCGCTGTCACCGCTACGCCACCCATGCTTCCCCATATGATGATATCCCCATTTTACAATCCGACCAGTTAGAACAAAACCTTTTGCTTGATAGTACCTTCGTAGTGCTCCAATAATACGATATTTTTATAAACCCCAACGAATAACGTAATCGCATGCATTGCAATAGGGCAGCGAGTACAATACGTCGCATCAAATAAATACAACGTTAGTTTCCCCATATTTGCTTGTCAGTAATTTTCGCCCGCTGCTTAAGGTTTTGGTGAACGTCAAACAAAGTTTCCATGACATTCATAGACACTTACAACTGAAACATTCCAGCTGATCTGAGAGAAATCGTTAGCCAATCAGAATCGAGAAAACTGAGGTGTCACTTTTCCTCTTGAAATTATGGATTTCCAGGCCACCAAATGAAAAAACGTTGATAACAATAACTAATATGAGTTATATTTTCATTGCAATGATGGACAGGATTTTGTTTTTCGCTGGCCATTTCTGCATTCCTCAGGGCTTCACTATTTCAGATTAGCTGGTTGTGTATTCCAATAATGTCATGGAAACAGTTTGATTGACGTCTATCCAAACCTTCGAAATTCAAACCCTTTGAATTTCACGGAACACGTAAATATCATACACAAAATCGGGGCTAAACCTCAGCAACAGAGTACTCGAAACTAGAGTATTACTTACTGCTATGAGCAAAAATATCCATCACGGGTGTAGAGGGGCGTGTATCGTCAAGACGAGAGCGTGAGGAAGATCGTGTTGGAGTTTTGGACCGAGCACCAGCGGAAGAACCGCCAGAAACAGACGACCTTCGTGGATTTCTGCTATTTGATGGCGAGTTACTGCGTGACGTTCTTTTATTTGTCGGAGAAGAAGGACGCGAACTCCTTCCTCTGGATGGCGAGGAGTTTCGTGACCTGACGGGTGATGATGAGCGTGATGCTTGGCGTGAAGAAGGCCTTGATCTTGAATTATAAAGCGTGCAAGACGTAGCGGGATGTGAGCGGCTAAGACTTGGTGTTACTGGCCGTGGATGAAGACTTGGGTTACGCCGCATTTTAGACTTCCCGGAAACCAGGCTTGATGACGACGCAGATAGACGAGAATACTTGGCCAAATTATCTGACCTAGTCGGTGACCGTTCTCTGGGCGATTCACCACGACTTGAGCGGCTGGAAAGTCTGGAACGAGGGCGACTACCTCCACCTGTGACGTCACGCAAATCTTTGTCTTGTCTGGCCAATCGGCGTGCGATCTCTTGGAATTCCGCTGGCAAGTTGCTGTAAGCCTCGACGCCGTGGGTATCAGTTCGAGTTTCCACATGTTTATAATTATTTATTCGACCGTTTGTAATCTGTCATTGGAATAAAAACAATGTTTAACAATCGTTCTCATGTGTGTGTGCTTCCCAGTCTCAAGCGATAAATCGCGCCATTTGCCGTCTCGACAGAATAGGGTTAACGTCAAACAAGGCGTTTCCATGATATCTGCTCTTTCTAATGAAAACGTTTTGTTTTCTGACGATGTCATGGAAACACTTTGATTGACGTCCACCAAAACTATTTTGTGGCGACGGCAAATAGCCCCTTTCACAGTTCCCTGCGCCATCTTGAAAGGTAGCCGTTCCTTTGCATCGAAGCAAGACGAACGGTGAGCTTGTAATGATAGAGACCTTTTTAAACACTTTAGGCAGTTTTTTACGTCTCTATCATTACAAGCTCACCGTTCGCCTCGCTCGGATGCAAAGGCACGGCTACCTTTCAAGATGGCGCAGGGGACTATTGCACGATTCTGCGCGTGTAATAGACCACGTTGATATATAAAATCACTAGCATGACATTGAACGTAGCTAATACTCCCATTTCAAGTTCGCCTTCAGCCTTAGCCTCAATTGCGTACAAAAGAGTTCTTTTCTATTATTAAGGTTCATTGTATAGTAAGGGATGTACGTACTACTGAACAATACGAGTTGATTAAAATTCCACGGCTTTTGGTTGAATAGCTGGAATCTATAAAGCACAACCGAGACTAAGGCTGGGGAAGATAAGTCGAGAATGGTATTGCAAAGCACTTTATATAAAATTGGGAAATGTTAGTGAGCTAGAGTGAAGGCATTTAAACCGTGAAATAAAAAATATTAGTCAACGTGTAATAGTCAAATAGACACAAAAGAAAAGCATGGAATTAGGGTCTACTAATGTGTGTTAGTCTAATATCTATTTCACGGGTTTAATGACTTCACCCTAGTTTGCATTACTAGTGGGTGAGAAAGTTTATAGAGTGACCACAGTAAATCCGTGAAACTTTAGTTATACTAAATAGCACAATTTCATGCAAATTCCATTGTTTTCTATTGTTTAACTGGTCACTCTATCGAAATATTTTTTAATCGATCGTACCTTTTTATTGCCTCCACCAGGTACATGGTTTTTGTTTCTGAATGAATCTACTTTAGATTTAACATCCCTTGCATAGTCGATCTTTTTAGTCGAGATCTTTCCTTTACCACCTAAAGGGATGTTCACAAATAGTGTTAATGCAAATAGCTATCTATAGATAACTAAAGGGATTGAGAAACAAAGCTGAAACAACTACAAAAATATTTGAGTTTGTATTGCGCATTTAAAAAGGTCATGAACATAGTTCTTTTTGTAACAGCATTGTTAGGCCCTAGCTAAACGAGGGAACATGTTTACCGCGCGCATGTTTCCTCGATGTTTCCAAGTTTAGCCACATGCGAAACATTGCTGCGTGCAAAAACATTTTGCTTCCAGTACGCAAAAATGTTTCTGCTGTGCGGCAGAAACATTTCATGCTTCCAAGACGCATGGAAAAGTTCATTAATTAGTAACGCTCGTTCTATCTTAAAAGTGCGCATGCGCTTCCTGATATTGAGTAAACATGTTTCGCGATGTTTCCTGACAGTTTTGGCACCTTGGGAAACATTCTGGGAAAATGTTTCCTCTTTTAGTCAGGGCCTTGGCTTGGGCGAAATTCCGACATCGCGCGTCATTCCTCAATCACAATTATTTCTTTCTACTCTCAGATTATCATGTGACATCATTATCGCAATGCTGATTGGCCTTTACAAGGGATTAGATATTGGGGTGCTAACTGTTTAAACCAATCCATCAGGTTGGAAATTCGTTTGCTAATTGATAAGATCTAGAATAGAGCGGGAATTTTTGAATTCCTATAAAACCCGTAGAACCAAAAAGAGCGGGAAAAGTGGGCTTCCTTAATCGTTAAGTTTAGACGGAGTTTTCCGGAACTTTCCAATCGGAATGACATATACCATTTGTTTTTTTCAATCGGAATTTCCGGTTCTTCCGGGTAAATGGTAAGCACCCTGCCTTGGTTTATATTGCTAGGTCTACTGACATGGCGGCAGGTATTTTGTCCACTGATTAAATACACATGGAAAACCGGATACCTTCATATGGATTACGCACAAAGAAATTTAAAGAATCAATGCCAAGTGATCTGGAGCACGGAAGAATAGCTGATGTTTCAACGTGAATCCTGCCAATTAGGACTAGTCAGTAACGAATCTTTCGTCAAATTGCAAGTCTGTTAGGATGCGACTCGTGAAAAATACATACCTCGCTTATATTTCATATTTTCTGTCGATCCTACTTTAGATTTGTCGTTCTTTATCACCGGCTTCTGAGAAGGAGTTACTGATGATTTAGGCTGAAAGTTAGAACAGATGCAGTTCTTGAAAAGTTCTTGCTCGTATGGTAGTTAGTTTTATGTATAGTGCAGATTTTCGTATGCTTGTGAAAAGTTCAGCGCCGTGACGGTAATGTCTTATACAATATTAATTGGCTCTTTTTTTCATGCGCAATGTAATTGGTTTTACAGTGCAGTGACTCTGGCGTGACCGTGTCTGCGCCGTGATTGAGCCGTGTTTCGGCCATTTGATTGGATGAAGAGTAAATTCTCGTGCGATGTGATTGGTTTGGCGTATACCTCGCGGTGTCACGACCGCGCTCGTGCCGTGAGCTTTTCACAGTCATACGAAAATCTGCTCTTTGTATATATTGCGGCCCACATGGATTGGGGATTATTTAATCTACGACTTCATTAAAAGTTACAGTGATTTTACTTGGCCCACAAAAGAAAGTTTCATAATAAATCTAGATCGGGAACGTGAGAACTATGACAGTAGTGTGTGTTGACGTTTGCGTATTGAGCATCAATCAACCTCTTTACCTCGGGCGTAATGTTTTCCCATTTCAGACCACGTGTCATTCTTTTGAGAATAAGATTGTTGGTTTGAGTGTTGTCTATAATCATGCTTGATCTCATGCGCAACCGTTAAACAAAGAAATGACAGTGAAAGGAATGACACGTGGTCTGAAATAGGGAAAACATTACGCTCAAGGTAAAAAGTTCTGTTTTCCCTGACAAAGGTAACTTCTCTAGATTTCGTGTTTGAATCTGTGTAAACACGACTGATTTAACTAGTTTATTAAACGTCAAAATGGGACATTAACTTCCCTCGCGTTGCGTCCGTAGAACGAGGAGACACACCCATTTGAAGTTCCAACTCGCGTCCTTAATCGTCAAGATTTTTTTGTTGCTAATCTAGTTATCTAAGTTGCAATACTCACGATATGTGAGACGTTTACCTTTCCATTTAGAATGAGCGCGCCTTTCGTCTTGACCTTCGAAACTCCATTAGTGTAGCCATTGTGCCCATTTGTTACGATGGCTGAAAAATATGAGTTACAGATTTACCAAAAGTCTCTTATAAATGTTACTACGAAATACAATGATCCGCTATAAACGAATTATGGTTATGCGAATACAACGACTGCAATTCCAAGAAGTAGATTGGGTGGCTAGCCAAGCTTTCTGAAATTTGATTAGTGTAAAAGTCAAAGAAGAATGTATATACTGAACGTTCTAAGAATGATTTCCAACCATCGAACTTTCCTAGATTCGCAGTTGCATGGCGCTTTTTTTGCTTGTTTGGTAATCAACTGCAAAAGATACACCTATTTTAAAATGGCCGGTTGTCGGGGCTAAAGGAGATAGGTCATTCCAAGGCAGAAATAAATTATGGGCATACAACTAAACACAAAGAAGCTCCATATTCTTAACAAGAATAAGAAAAAGGAAACACAAGTCATCTATCCTTACCAATCGCCTTTGGCTCCGACGTTTTTTAAAATTAGTTCTATACGTCAATTAGGATTTCGAGTTTGAACAGGTGCGCGAAAAAAATCTTGATGTCTCACAAAAGACAGGTTCGAAAAACAAAAGGAAGGAAGATAGGTGTAGAAAGACAGGTGTAGGAAGATAGGTGTAGGAAGTTAGGTGTAGGGGTGTAGGAAGATAGGTGTAGGGGTGTAGGAAGATAGGTGTAGGAAGATAGGAAGAAGGGAGAAAGAATAAAAAGGAAAGGAAAGGAAAGGAAAGGAAAGGAACCATTGACACTCACATTTCCGGACAGGAACTTGTATTTTCCCTCTGATATCTGGCTCCTTGTCCGACAAACTCTCTTCAGACAAAGAGGAATCTAAACTGTTCTTTCTTGAGCTACATGGTGTCTTAAAGAATGCGCACTCCGACGTCGGCGAGTCCGGGTAAAAATCCTTGGCTTGCCGATTCCTCGACCATTCATTTGCATCAGGTATCGTCATAGGAATCTCGCTATCAGTGAATACATCCGAACTAAGATCTGACAAATCTATATCAAGATCGCCGTTATAATCGCCATTCTGAAGGGTCATATTCTGTTGGTTCACGTAACTTAAGGTTAAATCATAACGACTGAGACTCTCCAACACATTGATATCCTCGTTAGGTTTAGTCTGTTCATGCGCGTTAGACACTATATTACCACTGGCTGATTTACTCGCGGACTCAAGCACGTGATTTTTACTTTTCGCTGTCAAACTTGATTTTGCTTTGTAGTATTCTTTTGTTTCTAGGAGAACTTGATCAGTGCTATGAACTGGAGAGAAATCTCTTTCCATGTCGTGTTTTGACTCGGTTGTGCTAAAATCGCCCTGTCGATCTAAACTTCTAGTTTGTTCGCGACGTATCGGTGAGTAGTCCCTGTCGTTGCTGTTACCATGGAAACGTCTTATACTAATATCATCACAACCATCCGAATCATGCACATCTTTCCTGGAAAATCTACCAGACATATCAGAGATATCAAGATTCTCTATACTAGTGCTTAAACGCGATGTCCCGAAGTCTATATCATCGCCATGTTTGTTAAAACGACGTCCATCCGAAAAGATCGCATCCTTCCCTCCTTTCAACGGTGTATCCATACTTTCACTTTGTAAATCCGAGTTTAAGTCAGTTGACGATTCAAGTTTACTTCGTTCGTATTCCAGTCCCGCCTTGTAGGGACTAAGCGAGGGTTTCTTAATTTTTCTTTTGGGGCTGGAGATTGCTATATGGTCCTCGTACAGTTTCAGGTTACCGCCCATGGAGTATTCAAACTCGGCATATTTTGAGAATTTGTCCGTCGTAGGATCGTAAAAATCGGAAAGTTCTTCTTGGACTTTGACCTCGTCGAATGATGGCAAGTAGCTGGAATTGGTGTACAAGGATTCACTTGGTATGATGACTTGTCGAAGACTGCCTTCTTTAATTTTCCTGGGGGAAGGAATAATGTTAACAAATTAAAATAAAATTAACAAGACATTTTCATATCAACTGCCAATATATTTGTCATAGTAGTTCCTCCCATTCAGTTCGATCATTCATTCTATTCAGTACTTAAGTTTCGTCTATGTAAGTGACCTTCAAGGCATTCGGACATAACCTTTAACCGATCACTATTTTATCCAGAAAGGAAGAAAGAAGGAAATTACTCAAACACGTGTAAAAATAGTGTGAAACTGAGCGGACATTTTGCATTTATTACCAAAGCAAGTATATATTCAGATGATTGATTAGTTTGTGTGTTGTATCGGTTTATTCTTCATAACGATTCTAAAAATCTGCTCTCTCAAAACTCGCAAATCTACAGGTTAAACAACACCAGAGTAGATTCAAAAGAACTGTGCACTAGCACATGAGAACTACCCGGAAGGGTGGGACTCCCATATATGATAAGGCGGGATGTTCGTTGGAAGCTTTGACCCCCAAAAGATACCAGAGTCCTGCCCAGATGGGCGTGCAACTAGGTGATGAACCAAAAATAAATATCCTGAATTACAAATGTGATTACGGCTGTCAATATCTAATATTGGGTATCTGACAAACGCCCTAAGAGGTATCGTTTAGATTAGTGACACTCTAAGAGGTACTAAATCCCAGATCTGGAACCCTAAATGGTCCGACGAGCATCCCTGCCATTTTCTAATCCGAGTCCTCCCACCACCCCGAGACTAGTCAGACAACGAACGTCAATAGAAATTATCAGCTTATCCCTGAACACACTCAAAATATCTTGACGGAAGCTGCACAAAGAAACAATAGCTGCAGACCACGAGCGCTCAAGATTCTTTTAAATAAGGCAAGTACGGATCGCAAATTCAAAAGAATTCACAGTTCCATTTTCGGCGTTTATGTTAGGTATTTCATTTAACTGGATTTTCCTGTTACTCTGAACTCTTATGATGACGGATTTGAAGGCGGTTCGGCTCATTGTTTTCTCAGAATAGCTTCGCTATTGTTCCTTTTACATAATTCCATGGTTTGAATAATCGTATTATTTCTTTCTATGAGAAAAGCTAAATAACATCTCTTTTGTTAAAAGTACAACCAATATTAAAAATATACATTAGAATCGTTATCAGTAACTATCAATACTATTAGTACCATCAGAAAAGAGCAGTTTTTTGTCCCTTAAACAAGAATTATCAGCGTTCAAACTGCAAGATATCAAATTTCCATGTACGTATAATTGTTATGTCTGTTCGAACTATAAAGGCAACAGTACATGAAATACAAAGCAAATAAATCCTTTGAAAGAATGGATCTATACTCAAAATAAAGCGGAATGACATTGCTTAGATTTTCAGTTCGTTCTCTGATTCGGTTCATAAACGCTATACAATAGTCAACATTTGAGACCCAAACCATCTTAAAACCTTATTTGAATAAGAAAGACGCGTTACGCCATACTATAATTACAGAAAAACATTAAAAATGTCAATACCTCTAAGGTACCTTCTTGGTGCGGCTTATCTTCGATTCAAGACGAAAATTGCTGGCGTAAACCAAGTTAAAAGATCCTTGGTAGAAGCTTACTTTGTGAAAGTACGAGTTAAATATTTTATGTGATATTAAATACGTTTTCTATGTGGTCATTTTAAAAATAGAATTGGATGTTAAGACATCAAGATCTGCGTTTATAATATTCCCTCCGTAAAACCTGACCGAGCAGGTGGATTGACAAATAAGGTAAGCTGTGTCCTATCCACTTGTCAGGTGGTTGCTAGGCAACACAGCATGAATGAACTAAACGACTTCTTTAAAGGTTTATAAGTGGTTTCGCTTACCATGTTGCTATTTTTGTCTGTGGTAAAATAATTTTGGTTAAGATATACTAAAGGTTTTTGTAATACTTGATTGGTATTTGCTAAAGAAAATAAATGAATTTTGCATGAAAAGTGGACACTCGGCAGATTTAAACTAAAAGACAGACGGTCAGACAGACAATACAGTGAGAAAGTAGAGCTAATACTAATGAAATTGAAACTTCTCAAGCGAACGTTGTCAAGGAAATTCCCAGTTTATTAAGCGAAATCTGTTCTATGACTAGTGCACGAGAGAGGTGATGGTGGAGACACAACTACACAAAATCCACCAAAAAGAAATCCGAAAATTAAATTTATGACCAATTTTGATTCTGGTGATTCGTTTTATACTGCGAAAGAAATGGCCCATGCTTAACGGACGAACGACAAGAAAATAGGGAGAACCATGATGAAGCAAGAGAAAATCTTATTCTCTTAGGTGAAGATCAGTGGCTGAAACCTGCTTGAGTATATGGACGAGTTTCACGGTAAACTGCATTGTACTTGTGAAACGTTTTTGGAACGAAAGTCGGAAAGTTACACTAACACTACAGTACATCTATAACTCGTGTGCACCTAAAAGTTTTACCGCTAGGCCAATTCGATTCAGTTAACATTGTAGATACTATGTATCGCCAGCAAGATGCAATCGTAAATGCTCCTGTGTTTTCGGGGCTTCATACAAAGCAACCTTCCCGGCGTGACTACCCTGTAACAAAAAAGCTTAGACTATGGAGACAAAAATACGACCTTAGCTTATTTCTCACAAGAAATTATTAATTTCCTCTGACTACAGAGACACCCTTTCTGGCTGCCCAGTTGCTTCTTGCTGGTTGCTCAGTTGCTACTTGACAGGCATTGAAACAGGATTATTTGCTGATAGGGAATGTATTTTAATCCGACATCGTTCGTTGAGGTTCACTGCAGACTCTTTTTTGAACATCAGCTTTCAAGTTAGCAATGGAATTTACATCGTAGTAACGTATCTAGTTGTGTACGATATTCAGTGACATTTCAACAAAGGCGTGACTTTGAAAAGTCAACAAAAATAAAAGCAAAAAAGGGAAAAATATCACATTATATATATAAGCAATCTTTTTCTTGGTCGTTAATGAAATGTATAATTTTTTTTTTCTTCTGTATTTAGAGATCTCCAAAACTCAAATACCTATTGCATACTTTATTCAGTAAGCAACAGAGCAAACTAAAACTGTAAACATTCAAATGGTTTTTTGAATTTCCTCTAAACAAATCCCGTTCACGATTTTTCGAACGGTTATGACACCAACTACACGGTTGGTAAAACTGTATCGCATTTCACTTCAACTATTTCAACTATAGGGTTTCAAACTGGTGTATAATTTCAGAGAGAGATCACATGCCAAAGCGTAGTGAAAGGTAATCATAACTTAACTAGAGTGAACTCATGCATACACCCATTCACGAAAATTGTCGAAAATCTGTTCAACCTTTCAAAGCATTTACCTTCGTAGCTTCCGCAGTTTTTTCTTCTCTTTCCAGGTCTCTTTTAGAGCGTACATTCTAATAAAAAGAAATTGTGATAATATATTGGCCAGTTAGGGCATGACTGCAAAGCCTAAAAAGCGATTTCACAGCTATTGAATTAGAATCCAAACTTGAATTTGAAACAAGTGTAATGCAATTCATATATACTTGCCCGAGAGCTGTCCACATCGTATCAAAATCGCCTTCCCTTGAGAAATCTCTTTAAAACGACATTTAAAAGTAAATTTGTCGACAGAAAAGATATGAAAACTAAGCCACAGGATAATTGTATACGTGGCGCGTGAATTGAAAACGGGGAAGACAAACGTTAAGGAACAAAAGTCAGTTGAACAGGTACAACGGGTATAGTTCGCATCCCACCAGCACTGTTTTCCTTAACTTTAGAGTTTAAGTTCCATGGTCAAAACAACGACAAAACGGCTCAAAATCTATTAGATTTTACTAATTTTATTGCATTACTCAGTCGACATAAGTGAGATTAATTGCACTTTTTAAAGTTTTTTTGAAATACCTAGATGATAACATGGTAAATTCAAGTATAAAGGTAGATCAAATAACATGATCAAATCAAGGTAACACTTGACCATTCGCATCATTTTCCCACTTTCTCTTTCCAAATGAATGTCAGTATTGAAACAGCCTCTTCATATTCAACCAATATTATGTTTCTCTACATTTGCCCTAAGCCACAATTATCTGCTCTTTTCAGTAAAGCAGGTTTACCATCTCTAGAATTTGGAATCTAAAAACCCTATATTTTAAAGCTTGATATCAGAGAAAAATCTTGATTACCACCTGTTGATACCAGAAACATCAAGTCGAGACCACTATTCCAAAATAGGTCAAGACGTCTGCAAGGTATTGTGGGATTTGTAGTGCCATATCGAGGCCAAAAAACGCTGGTCAAAATGAAAGGGACTAGGTACTGCAACGGGTGGCCGGGATATCCAGTGCCACCAGCTCCTCTATATAAGTGTTATACTTGATTTTGTTTTCAAATATCTCTAAGATAAAAGTCACCCTGGGGACTGTACTGTCTATTTCAGCTCTGGTTCAAGGTAAACTTCACACCGTTTTTCTGCAGCACTTTGGAATGCAGCTCAATCTGGGGGACAAAACAAAAGAACTCCAATCTCCTGAGAACTGGAACCTATCGTTTTGTCCCCCAGATCGAGCTGGTTTGACGTCACATGCAAGGGATCTATAAGCCGCCATAGACACCCTGTATTGATGTTAATCATCCCATGACGGAGGAAGGTGGGGGATGCCTTTCAGAACCCTATCAAAACAAATATAATAATGTCTTTTTACAAAAAACATCGTTTTCTAACGAGATAGCTCTTCAAGGTTTGGTCGCAAACTCGTTCTTCACGACATTTTATTGGATTATCTGCAGTCCCCCCTGGGGTTTGCTTCACATAATACTTCGCAATATTATATATTATTTCTATCATCGTATGCCTTAAGTACATTAAAATTTGGTTAAATAAGTGTTTGCGAGTTGCGTTTAAACTCGGCATTTTAATATTTTAAAGGTTACTTATTTTTGGAGTTGAAGTAAGCTTTAAATTAAAATTAATCTTATCATCTAGGTCTATTAATATTATACGAAAGCTACTCATCGCTGCGTCTTTAGTAGCCCCTGGTTACCGAGGAAGCTCATCGCTGTAAATCGGATGCAAGAAAGTCTAAATTTACACCGAAAACGATAAGAAAATCCCACGATGTATACATACAATCGATATCATCTTTGGAGTATATAAAATCATTTCAAGTAGGCATTTCAGTGTAGCAAGACTAACTTATAATTCATCTTCATAACTAACCTGTTTTCATAGATGCTAAAAATACTAATGTCTTCTCCAATGATTGACATGATACGATTTCTAGATCACTCAAATTAATCAAAGTTTCTTTTTGTGTCCAACTTCTAAATTTCGCGCCAAGCAAACAATTGTCAGTGGCTTGTCCGTGGTGAGACTAGGCACTAGTATCCAGATCTCACTCTTGTATCATTTGAAACAAATATCCCGGATGTATCAAACAAAATGGCGGACTATTTGTACTTACATAGCAACTGAGTTTTCTCAATAAAACCAGAATATCTTGTGGAAAGACTACTTTTCTCGTTAATTTTCACAAAGAAAAGATGGGAAGAACCCAGATCTCTTAAAGGATGCCTTCTGGCAAAGTAAGTTCGAAGTATTCTGTTTATTTTCTGCCGACGTTAGCGGTATAAATATCTGGTTGCCAAGTTCAACATTTAGAAAATGTTTTGAAATAATCTTAGCTTATAGTTCTTTTAGGGAATTTTTATCAATGACAGAAAAAGAATAGACGAGGAATGAAAAAGCGATATAAATTATGCAATAAAACAAATGTTTGAAAGTTTTTAAAGTTGGATGTTGAATTTATATTTTTCATCGTTGTCGTTGTCAAATATAATCGGTAAAAAATGTTGTAGATGTCAGTCATTCAAAAATTTTCAGCATCTTGACTTACTTATACTTCTATTAATCTCCGAAATTTTAGAGAAAGAACTCTTTCCTTACCATTTTTCAATGTTGACAGGGACGCAGTAAGGAAGATACATGGAAGGAATCGGACTTGAAAAAAGCAATCCAGGTACAGTTGTAATATTTGTACAAAATATCATGCTTGTACGTGTACGTGCATAGATTCTGAAATGCAGATTAGAAATTGTGGAGTAGGGCTCGAATTATAAATTTTTTCAGCCTGCCATAGTAAAGGAGCATGGTAAAAGGAGGTCATTCCAGTAAAGTTTGCATGCCATTTTATTATTCATTTGGCAGTGCATCATTATTTTCACCTGCCAAACCTGAAAGTTGTCCTGTCATTTGGCCATTGGCAGGCCACTATTTTGAGCTCTGTGGAGTAGAAATTGTGTACTCTGTATAGTTCATGGTTGGACTGATAATTTTCTTTCAAATATTTTTGAATAGGGGGATAAAAAGGAAAGGCCAAGTCGCAGAGAAGATGACAGAAGGGAAAGAAAAGTGAGTAAATGTGTCTGTACATACCTTGGCTTCCCTTACCACTGTTTTCTGTGCTACACATATGCACTGATTGTCATTCAGTACCTGACTGATGGCAGTGTCCCAGTGCATAGCAAGGAAAACAGTGATCCATGTCATTTATTTTTTGGTTGGCAGCACGCAATGGCCAGTGTTTGACCATCATTTGTAATAGATAATAAGATGCAGACATTTTTAGTTTTTGCTGTTTGATTAACATTTTCACTTCTTTTCCATCCATCCATCCATCCATCCATCCATCCATCCA